TTGACCAAAAATGAACATCTAATAGCGTGAAGAAGTTATTCCAACTCTCGCCGACCAATCAGCTGCAGTAGTTCTACATTCACATGCCTTTCATAAGTTTACAAACAAAAACTCGAGGAAAGTGCGCACCTAGAGTTTGTTTTTGATGCGATCATCTCCGTGAGCCGCTGGAGAAGCCAGAACATAGGCATTTGAGGGAAAACTGTGAATGTTCACCAAATAGTGGCTTATCCACATTTTCGGCCATTCTTACACACAACGTTCCAAAACTCGTAGAACGTCATCCCGTCTGAACTTTGGTGTCTTCGAAATATGAAGCTTACCGGACGTACTTAAAAGCAGCTGAATGCTATATCTGCACTTCCCATTTGAGCACCGGCCATACATAAGTCAGGCACAAATAGCCCGCGGAGAAAGAGCGAAAATCATCAAGATTACGGTACATGAGCTGGCATTGAACTTGAATAGACAGCTATGAAATACAGGAAAATAAACCAATAGGGTAACAGTTATAGAGAGATAAAGAAATGCACTTAAGGAAGGATAATCATAATGTCTGAAAGACTGAATTATAAATTCTACTTTTGACTGGCAGATTATCAGATTAGAAAATTACCAGACCAAAAGAGAATAAATCGCTTTGCTACCTATATACAAGCAGAAATAGTGCGAATGTGACTGTACTTACGTAATCCCCATTTTAGTGATCTTCTTTTCATTCTTGGAAGGTCCGATTTCACTAAGATGTCCATTTCTCGAAATTAAAAACTTCCAGAACAGTGTTGCGTAAAAATCTTTCTCTGTACATTGCGTAAAATTTCGTTGTCTGAAATTTCGATCTTCAAATGTGACGTCATTCACGATTGTAGAATTCACCGCTTTGGATTCAGTGCTTGCAACGGTTCGGATAACTGCAATTTTGACAGTTTCTGTATTTAGTCTTTATAAGGCGAATAGTCAATGTTACAGCTTAGAAAGCACTTCTTCTTTATGTTCGATGTTACAAAACATATTTTATCATAAAAAATATTTGTCTGTTTAATTAATAATGACAAATGATGCACTGAAATAAAGGCGCATATATATTCACCAGATGCAAATTGTTCAGTTAGTCAAGTTGAAGAAACTCTTTCATGGATACGACAAAATATTGTTTAGGAAAACAGATTTATTTGACAATATATGCTGTGTTATACAGTGATTTTTTGCTATGCTGAGTTTCATCACAATTTCATAATTCTGACATTTGAATTCTTAATGCCGGATTTACAAAGCGTGGGCTCAAAGGCTCGTTTCTTCCTTCATCTATGCTAGTAAGTGAGTCTTGTGGTGGGGAGCAGCTTGACAGTATTTCAGTAGCTGGATTACTTTAATGCCGTGTATGATTAGTGTTTCTGCAAGCGCTTCAGTACTGTGTGACTCTCAGGTACTTGAATGGTGCAGTGCATTTGCGTAGACTCCGCCAGGGCTTCAAGTTGAAATGTGATATTTTCTGTACGAGACGGAACGATGTAATTGGCGTAGCTACATAACATTATGGCAGTTATGCTGTGTCTGTGTGAGACGTATTCACCTGTCAAGGCTACGTTCCTGATACTCCACCAATTAGACATGAATACGCATACGTGACTATAACTCTGCATTGGTCTTACATTTCGTATGCGTATCTGCATGCTAACAGACTGTTTGCACGAGTGTGCTGGAAAGGATCCGTAACACGTGAAGGAAATTGATTTAGGAAGATTTATATCTACCAGACAGCGAATTCGAAACCAAAAAATTTCACTCATACAACGTGTGAGGTGAATAATCGCTTCAAATAGGAGCGCAATATGATTTGTGGAAAAAACCATATCCAGAAGGTCCCAAAGTACTAGAGATGCTAAATCCAAATAATCCCTTTCCCTATCCTGCGTGATAGAAAAGAACCTGAATTTCTCCAGTGCTTCATCTACATTCCAAAAAGCATTGCCTATGAGCTTTCTTTCGATCGATATCACATGTGAAGAAGCTCAGCAAGATTTATGGTGCGGTGATTGATTGATTGACACACGAGATGGTTTGCATATATATTCGATAAGGCCTCAGGGCAGTATATATTGAGGAAGACGATCCCCTTTTGACTATTATCACGAGATTTCCGGCCGAAACGGGGCATCGAAGATTATGAATAATTAAATACATTTTTTAATGATCAGAAATCTTGCAACGTCAGCGGCGATAACTTGCGTTTAATGCAGTTATGAGGAATGTCTCTGTAAGCGGTTGAATACTGTGCAACTCTCATCTGCTTAAGTTGTTGCCGTTAGCAGTTTGAAGCAAGGAGGCAGTACGTTTGTGCAGAGTAGGCCGTGGATACTTATTGAGAAGTATTTTTTCCCGCGTTGATTGAAGCTGTCATTCGTTGTAAAAACAACATTGCTTCTTATACTTGGTCTATGCTAGTCAGAACCGCGTGTGATCGCGACAATAGGACATCAATACGAACCAAAATTGCGCATTAGCTCTGTTTGAGTACACATGTCTATGGACATTAACGCTGTTGGCAACAGTAACATTAAAAAACATATCTCGCGCATAAATGACATTGATTTGGCAATGGGGGCAGCGTGCAACCGGACGGAAAAGTTACAACCGCGCCTGTGAAACGAATCACTCTCTCAAATACAAGCGTGACATATTTTAAGGTCAAAACCTCATCTATGAGGTCCCAATTATTTGAGCGGCTCGATCCAAGTGATATGAAGTATTTGCGCAATATGAGAATTTCTGCCGATTGATGAGTAGTGTAAGAACGCTCAAAAAATTCACAAAGCGGAACTTAAGCTTCTGATCGATTTAACATTTTCCCCATTCATTCAATTATGATCAGTATGGCAGTCTCGACCTTGGATATGGCGCCAAGGGCAGATGGAAAGGACTGTCTCAGTACGTGCTAAATAGCTAAAGGGCAGGATAAACCAAGGCCTAATGTCCCTCGTACGTTTACACCACAGACACTGTTCCATCGAATAGTTCGGTTCATTTTAAAATATACCAGGCATCTTTTTTCGTCTGTGACTGTAACTTACCGGCAGAAGCAACGAACATCGTTCTAGAAGAGAATGGTCATTTTGGATGCGAAACCCTGCGCCACAGTACATCTTATTTAAAACCTGAAAATCAGCGCATCGATGGAAAACGATATTTATGCATAGCCATTAAACTGGATGTCTTCATGGTGGCCGAGAACAGACTTTCGTCTGTGTAGCGTAATTGTTGCGTTTTGCCAATTTATGGCATTGTCACGGCCTTTCCAAAAAACCACCCTAATTTAAGCAAGATCTGACTCCACCTCAACGAAGTATGATTTGTCGTGGTTTTCAAAGTTGGAAGATCTCTCTACTGAAAGGTCGGTAAACGTTTATAGCACCAAAGTAGGGTACATCTGGAAAGCACAGTAATGGCAAATGCTTAGCAGAAATGTCAAAACTGTTTTCATTCGTAAATCTGCAGAAAACGGCAAAGACTGTTCAATGAATGGCGTTTGAAAATGGAACAAACCGAGACGGGGTTTCAGTAGGTTTGTGCAGGCTCCTCCTACGCCTTGATGTAAATCACGCAATCCCGATCTAATGACGCATTGAGAAGTTCGTTTGGCGCTTTAGCTCGACTCAGTTGGCCACTCTTTGGCAGCAGTAACCAAATGAACATTCTTGACTGGCAAATCTTTCCGCTGTAGTCATTGAAGCGCTCTAATGTGCTCTAGCAGCCACATCAATTCGAGGATCTTTAAAATGTAATCACTGCGTTTAATGAGATATCCATAAAATAGGTATCTGAGGAGAAAATATTCTGACAATTACTGAAATGAGTGTTTCCACATAATCGCTGAAAAGTGACGAAAACAATGAGGAGGACTATACATGCCCAGAAATATGAGTGATTCGATCAGAAATGGTGTTCTGTGGCTCACTCTTCCATGCCTGGTTGGACTGAATTGTGGAAAAGCACCAGAGCATTAGCAATCTCAGATTTTGATTCTGTTACTCCGGATGCGTAGAAAATGCATGTCGAATAACCTGCAGCAACAAGAGGAAATACCTCACTTCAGCGTCGCATAAACTGTGCCAGTTTATGATGATCGGTTGAAGTGTGAATTTGAGTGCATATAATCGGCAAGGTGTCCGTGACAAGAAACGCAATCCAAAAGACCTCTCTGTTTATAGGAAAAACGCACGTCTTATTGCATAGCTGAATCTTCGCCTTTTGTCCACTTTTCACAATGTTTGAGAAATGCGATGCGCAAACAAGGAGATCGAATTCATCAGCATCTTCCATGAATTCTGACTCATGATATTCTTCAAACTCAAAACATCCATATTGAAAAAGTACAGCACGCTGATATTCATATCTGCCAGACTAAGAGTACTGGTCTTAACGACCATGGGCCTAGGACGATGAGAATTGTACTCTCCTTTAAATGTTCCTAAAACTGGATCAGTCATAAATTCTCAACTTCAACGAGTTTCTAATGGGTCTGTAGTAAAAAACGTTTGGAAAATTTAACACTGTGGGAATACGGTAATAATGGGAACTGAATTTTTGTTTTATCACTGTGGACTAATTA